CCACATAGACGACGAGACGGCACATCACACACTTTGTGAATGTCCCGCTCTAGTCCAGCTGAGATGATCCATGGAGTTATCCTGGCCGGAAATGGCTACAATTAGCCGCTTTCCCTACCAAGTCTCTGTTCTAGCATCCTTAGATTCATCTCACGTGTAGAATAGCTTGAGTGACGTTGAGGGGTCAGATGACTCTTAGTAAGGCAGGTAGTACGAAGTGCCCGAATACGAGGCCTAAGCACGCGCGGACCTGGTCCACCCTCCTATCGTTATCCAGAAATCCAAAAATTTCGCTCTAAACGTATCTTTGAAAATCCCTTGGAGTTGCTGTTTGAATTTGTCCTCGAGTTTCTCTTTGAATTACTTAAATTGAATTTCTGTACATTATTTATTTTATTTTTCTTGGATTTCTCTTCGAATTCGGGTTTTTCTACGAATTTGAATTTCATACAGCTTTTCTTTGTGTTGCTTCTCCAAGTTCAACTTCTCTTAATTCTTCTTAAAAGTTCAATTGATGGTTTGACATTTTATTGAGGTTTTTTCTTCAAATGTCTCTTTAACATGGAATTTTTCATTGATTTTCTTTTTGAATTTGAATTTTTCATTAATTTTTTCTGTTTTCATTTGAATACGTCGTCTAATGGATCATTTTTTATTTTAATTGTGAACCTCTTTCCGAATGGCCGTCTAAGTTGTCTTCGGGTTTCTGTTTTAATTTGCATTTTGTTAAATTTCTCCTTAAATCTTTTTTCAATAACTCTCCAAACGTGGCTTGATTTTTCTTTATTTTATTCGAAATTAGTCTCTTGAAATACCTCGTAAAATTACTGACTGAATCCTTTTAGAATTTCTCTTTCCGAATTTTTTTTTCAATTTCCCTATGTTTTTTTAATGTTTCCTTATTTGGCTTTCGTTTTTCCTTCGACTTTCTACTTAAAGGTCTCATTTACTTTCTTTTTAAAATTCTCTTGTATAATAATCTCCAAATTTTTCTTCGAAAATTTTGTTGAGCTTCTTTTTGAATTTCTCTTCTAAATCCTTATCGAATTGTTCTTCACATTTTTTTTAATGTCCTATCCCACTTTTCTTTTAATAGCCATTTTCTCAAACTCTTTAAATTTGAATTTCTCTTTGTACTTCTCCTGCATTTTCAACTTATCTTTGAGTTTTTGTTTGATTTTCTCCTTGGTGTTCCTCTTCGAAACTTGCTTCAATTAATTGGGGGGCCTTCCCGACGGACCAGATTTGTTGCTCGCAGTATCCAGTATTTTCGTAGTACCAATGGGAATGTGAGCTGGGTCACGACTCACGCCAGGTAGTATCTGGCATGGGCATCCTAGGCCAAACACCTTTTTGGTGGAATTATTAGAGATGGTTTTCTTGTGTGGACATGGAGGCTGCATTCCTTAATCTGCCTCCTACTCTTAGTAGTCCCCTTTCATCCAGGACAGGACTTTCTTCAACTTCATTGTAGCCACATTGTATTTTGAACATCATAAACCTCTTGGGCCGCCAGCAGCCGTGATACGGGTCTCGATGTTTCGGTTTCCAGCTCGACTCCCATTTCCTTTGGTGGTGGCTTGTTTGACCAATATTTCCAGAAATCCCTAGGTTCTGCGTAGTCCGCTCCCGCTATATTTACCCGTATGTATGGTAAATTAACGGTGCTGTTAAGGGACCGGTTTGCTTGAGGTTGAGGGTTTTGTTTGGTTCCTGTTAACAGCTTGGATGCCAGTACTGGTCCACTGAGCTCCACCCCAGATAGAGTTTTCTTCAACTTCATCGGGGCAACCGTAAATTTTGACGTTAACCTGGAGGTTTTTATTTGCCCATTTCTACACAAATCTTCTTGTATTTCTGGACCAGTTACAGCATCATCTCATTCTAGCTTTTGCCTAAACTGGAAGTGGTTGAGGCGTCAAACACCAACCGTAATGTTGTGGTGGAGCTTTCCTCTTTTAACACCACATGGTGGGGAATGTAGTATTTTACAGATGCCTCCCTTGCATTTCAAGGTACCATATGTCTTAGCTCTTCACAATTTCACAGGAAATCCTTGTATGTACCTGGATTCCATATATAGAAGGCGGGCGGTAACCCTTTTCCAATTCATTGTCTATATTCCGTGTTGTTGCTTCTTGATACCTTTCCTCGCATTGGTCATCTTCCTGCAATTGCGTCTTGGGTATGGACTTCTTCAATTGCAGACTAGTCCGTGATGGACAAGAGGCTTTGCATGTAGCACTTACTGGGACCGGAACCCTTGTGGTAACGCGACCAAATGAAGCATTAGGATTGTAAGGCCTAATGCTTTACCCAAGCAAAAATATACAAGGTAATTTCGACCGGGAATTATCGTATATCTTAAACCCGGTAAGTTACCGAAAGTTCAACGATTGGTAACTGATAATGTTTATTGTAAGCGCTTACTTGCTATTTTTATCGCAGATAAATTTCATAAGTATGCAGGAAATGCTGATGCATCGACCTTGCCTAGTTTGTTTAATTGTCTTGTGTTTTGTTTCGCAGTAGTCTACATATTTCCGTATTAGTTTGCATTTTCTTGTTATTCTTGAAAATAATTCTTCCTTAATCTGTGCTGAATTAATATATTGGGCCGCCAGCAGGAAAGTACGTCTGTTATAAATGAACACTTCGAATTTCTTATCCAATTTTTTCATCAAATATCTCTTTCAGCCTAGGGGGAAACAAGTCCATTTAATTCAACTTAATTCTCGTTAATTCTAATTAATTCACGTTAATTCAAGTTAATTGACGTTAATTCAAATTAATTCACGTTAATTCACATTAATTCACGTTAATTCAAATTAATTCAGGTTAATTCAAATTAATTCACGTTAATTCAAATTAATTCGAATTAATTCACGTTAATTCAAATTAATTCGGAGGGGTGTACACCAAAAATTCAAAGTTGCTCCCCCCTAGGTTTCAGCGCTCTTCAACGCTTCTTCAATTTTCGTTTAAAATCCCTTTAATTTCTTGATGCAAGTCTCTTAAAATATCCCCCTCTAATTTTCTGTTGAATTTATCTTTTTGAATTTTTTGTTGATTCGAAATTCAAAACTTTCTTAAAATTTTCTGTGACAATGTCTTTTTGGATTACTCGTTGAATTTTCTGTTCTTTGAATACCTTTTGTAATCGTTTTTTGAATTTCTCTTTGAGTTTCTCTTCTACATTTCGAATGTTTTTTTTTTAATTTCAGTTTCTTTTAGGGTTTTTAGCGCATTTTCAAAAATGAAGTTTAAGCTTCTTGTTGTTGTGGTTCCCTTCTTATACGGTGTAACACAGCCCCGAGACCAGAATAAGAAAAGATTTTTTGGGTTAGTCACTTCCTTCCTGAGTTATTACTGTCTCTGTGCAGAGAAAATGTACTTTTGTCGGTTGCGAGTGACCACGTCTGTACTAGTTATGAAGTTAGGCCGCCCTTGTTACGTAAATGTAATGGGAAATAATCGAGATAATTTTAGAGGTGTTTAGGTAGGAATAAATTTTTTTCTGTGATGAGAAAAACATAAAAAACATTTCACATTTTATCTCTGTTGACAGGTAGGTAACAAAGTCTCACTTTTTATGAAATTAAAAAAAGTGAGTACTATTTTTGGCGATTTGACTTTTAATTTATCCTTGCAAGTTTCTTTTCAAACTTCTTCTATTTCCTCTTCCAACTGTTCTTGCATTATCCTTTGAATTTGGCTTTAAATTTTCGTTCAATTCGCCCAATATTATGAAAATCGGTTCGGAATTCTCTTTCTCTGTTATCGAACATTTCTTTTTGAATCTCTTATCAAAATTGGGGTACTTTTCTTTGAATATTGCCTTCAGTTTCTCTTTGAGTGCTTCGTAATGCTCTTTGAATTCCCCTTAAAACTTTGCCGTGTAGGTGTTCTTCAATACCTTTTTCATTTTCGCCTATGATTTTCCGATGAATTTATCTTTGTATCCCTCTCTTGTCTTTCTCGTTCAACTTATTTTTGAATTTTTGTTTGCTTCTTCCTCTGAAGTTCCCCTTCGAATTTCTCTTTAGATTTGAATTTTTCCCTTCAAATTTCTTTTTAAAATTCTCCTTCTTTGAATTGTTTTTCATTTAATCTTGAATTAGTCTTTAGGTTTTTTAATGGAATTCTTATTTCGAAACACACCTCAAATTTGCACTTTTTCGAAAATCTTCTAGAATGTCGTTGAGAACTTATTTTTTAATTTCTCCTCGAATTTCTTTTTAATTTTGTTGAGGCATTTCTCTTTGAATAGCCATTTGAAATCCTATGTTCCTGAACTCGTCTCCGAATGTTTCTTGAATTTCACGACGAGTGTTTTTGGGGGCGAATTTAACTTGGCAAGCTTTTGCTTGATAATAAAAGATAGGGAAGCTGAGTGTCTAATAAGCATCAAGTGAATGATTTGTGAGACCGAAATTGAATTTTGTAAACGACTGGTTAAATAATTACACTTTGTTTTCTCAAAATGCGTGGCAGTTAATTAATGATCGTACCGCACTTGGCTGGCTATTACAGGAAGCAATCCCCTAATTACTAATTTTTGCTTGGTCATCGTAATTTGAAAATGTATAGTTACGAATAAGCAATTGCCCACGCAAACTACAATGTTCGAGATAATAGCGCCATATAGAACGGCATAAATTTTGTTCTAATCGCTTAATAGATCAGAATTGATTGCCGCACATTAAATCTTAATTCACTTTATTTATTAGAACGAACGCACATATGTGCAGGTAGTGAAATTATGTTAAGTGACTGTATTCGACGATGAAATAAAGTGAGTCATAAATCTCGGAATACCTGTAATCAGGAATAAAGCAAGTGAATCAATAATTGATTTGAAAGAGGGTTCCACTAATGGAGCTTTGCGTGTTGTAGACCGCGTGGACAAAAGCATGTGGCACGTGTGTTGTACCGAATTTTTCCTGATTGTTGTATCATCCGTTTGCATCGACGAGCGCTTCAATGAGAAATCTACTTACCGGTGTGAATGTAGGTGTGTTTTTTCATATCAGATTTTTGGTGGAAGCGCTTCCCGCAAAACTGGCAAGGATACGGCCTGGTATCGGAATGGATGAGCAAATGGGTCGAAAGTGTGGACGATCTTTTGAACGATTTCCCACACTGTTGACACTGTAAGCAAGAAAATGATTAAATTATTAAGCCTACGGAATCAGTCGATAAAAAGCACAGAGATAATGCTTTCAATAATAAAATGGTTACAAAAGTAACCTGAACTACTTCCAACTTTACTACGGCACGGCATGGATTTATAATATTTTAATACTTGAAACTTTATATTATGATTACTGCTATTAAAACTATTCAGTCATGAATAATTTCACTGTCGAAGTTCTAACTTAGAAACTAGCTTGCCTAATTTAAGCTATTCTCAATCATGGACATCGGCCATATAAAGGGGGATCGATTCCCAGCGAGTTCTAATTACACGGAGCCATCATTTAATAAATCAAAAAAATTTCCGATAAAGTAGCGTGACAAAAAGTCTTTGAATTGAAAATAAGAAAATATGATAAAAGACTTAGCAATTATAAACCAATTAAATCGAGAATATCAGTCCAGTACGCTCCTGAATAATTTCTAAAGTAATTAATGGAAGATAATACTCATTTCTTAGTTTCTGTTAGAATTGTGATAATAAATATACATAAGCCAAATGTGTAGGTAGCTGAATGGAGAAAAAGGCCTGTTATTTACTAATAGCCTATTTAGAAATGTATAAAAAAATTAGTATTTTTGGTTGTAAGCTGCCGTAGTTCACACGAATTGTGCTTTATTCCAATTAAAGACACTCTAAATTATTTCCCTAACAATTTCTCAAATCCCAACATAAAAGTGTAATTACTTGCGTTTTCTTTTTATTTGTACACAGTCCTCTATACTTTATTTAATAGCTCCTCAATATTTAAACAAAAATATTGTTATGAGGAGTACCTACGTGGTATAGTTCGTTGTACAAATAAAAATTTCAACCGCTGGGTTTGTTGAAATGAACTGAATTTTTAATATTGTTTGCTGGTAATTATAATGCCGTCGCTGAATGTTTTCATATAGTCTGCACCTTGTATGAAAATCATTAGATTTGCTGCATATAATAATATCGCTGTCAAAGCCGACGATTGTTACTGTAAAAGTCTCATAATAATTAAGGGCTTTGGCAATTAAAGTACTAGAAATCAATAAAGACAAAGTGTCGATATGGCGATACCCCGTTATTAAATTCCGTTTATGAATTCGTTAATATGAAAATTTAAATGTCGGGTTGATTTAAAATGCCGTTTGGTGCACCGCTTTGCAAAATCAGGTTATTATACTACGATTTTAATGAACGGCGTGCCAGTTTTTTCTTCACTTTTATCGTACTCTTTCATTCTGAATTTTAAAAGGTTGGTCAAATCGCAATTATGTAAATAAGTTATTAGCATAATTTTGTTAAGCAGGGCAGTTTTTCGGGTTGGGTTTGTCGGTAATGAGGTAATACAAAATCAGAATGAATGCAAATGCACAAGGACCTTTAAACTAATAAAACAAATCTGCGATGTGTCCATGTCCCTTGCAGGAAGTTACGATTTGGAAATGTTGGGGTTGCGAAATTGTTTGGCGGTGGTGTTTATCGGTACTTCCCAGTTCCCATTAATATTGAAATATATTACATGACATTTTTCACAGCTTCTTTCAAGCAAATGGATGCAAACGTAATGGTAGACGTTGATCAAATAGGTTTTAAACCTCGGAGCTTACCTACAAAAGTCCCCCATTTGAAACGGAAATTGGGGAAATTTTGGGGATACATATTTAGATTGGCAACATTTCGCATTGTAAATATGTGATAAGATTAATCCAATTTTCCTCGAGCATCGCGTGCATTTCTTATAGAATTTCACAGTCCTCGACCTTCGAATCTTCACAATGGAAATCCGGGGGAACAAGAAGATGTCAAGTGTCATGTTTTCTTTCCCTAAGATTTTTTCCAACTGCATTTTGCAATTGAGCATGAGATGTGGATCATGAAATGTAAAATCAGTTACGGAAAAAATGTAAAGCTATAGAGATATGGAAAAAATTATGTAACAGGTGGTCGCTTTAGGCTTTAAAGATTTTTTGTTAAATTTCCAAAATTTCTGGTATAGGAAATCTTATACGTGTACCGCTTCATAAGGAAAGAGAACAGAACTTATTTTCGAGCGTCATCACAGTGTTGCCACGATGTCACAGACCTCAACAGTCGCGAAAAGCTGAGAGAAATGCGGGAGGGGCAGTCTTTCCGCAAAAGTTGCGATTAAATCGTTTGGTATTTAGGATTCGGCGAGGTATTTAAGTAAAAATCTGGGAGAGCGAGACTCTTAGTAAAATCCATGCCGATCGAGTGCTACATTTTTCGATCTAGTATTGTCGTATCTTTGGTGCAAATTTACGTATCGTGAGCGCGAAGATTTGTATGCGTATAAATAAATTCTTCGCCAAACTGTCAAGGCGGATATTGTGAAAATTTTGTACGCCATTTTGGAGATCGAGTAACATTTCTTTGTCAATTAAAAGTTCGAACTGAAAACCATATAACCGCAGTGCATGGGAGAATCTTTGACCTCGCAACCGAAGAATTTTTCGACGAATGTGTTTAGTGGGAACTATCCTTTCGAATAAGACAATTAATAGAAGGTGGTTTTGAAGCAACAAGGGGACTTCGTTGGATAGAAAAAACTAATGGGCGGCTGATATAATTTTCAACCGTGAACAGTGCGAAGCGTTACCGTAGTAATACGTAAGCGAACTTTTTCGTTTAGGTGGATTTTTGGATTGTGGTGCTCGTATGCAAATGCATTGTTACCACGAAAGCATTGGGGTCCAAGGTGCATAACATTGCGTTGCGTTATTTTTAAACTGGCTAGTTACGTTAAAAACCTGTTTATTAATCAAAGTTGTGCATCTACTTTGAGTATACAAGGTCCACACAACATTATAAATAAAAAGACAACCGGTAGAAAGGTTAAAATCGATTCATTTTGTGCTTTCGATAACTGAAAACCCTAAGTCCTAAGAATAAAGGTAATTTTGGACATCTCCATATTGCGGAACCTGGGTAAATTTTTTCCAGAAAAACACCAAATAATTAGAACTAATAAATTGTGAGAAACCTAAAACACGCTTGTGTCGATATCAAGTTTGTCAATAATTTTGCTTTTCACTTTCAATTAGTAACCAGACAAAGGTTTTCCAGAGAAAATCAGTTGTCAATGCGGGAATATTTCAACTCATCGATAATAGTTATTTGTGTACCAAGGCCGTAAAAGTGATCTTTTTTGGCCGAAGCTGCTGTTTGTGGCCGAGGCGGTAGCCGAGGCCGCAATTCAGATGAGGCCTAACAAATCACTTTTGGCCAAGGTGCACACAACATTTTTTAGGCGATCATCAAAAAAGAATTCAAAAATTTGCTTATAAACATATTTTTTCTGAAAATCATAGTTATCTTAGACAATTAAAAACAAAGCAATTCCTGTCATATGTAATTATAATTAGCATCTTTGCGTGTGTTTTGTGCGTACCAAAATGGGTGATAGCGACAGTTCAGATACCCCAAATGAAATTTTGGAAGCTGCAAGCGTTGCGCTTGCGACCCTAAGTCATATATGATATAAAAGCAGGCGTTTGAGAGTAAAAGTACAATCGCAACTTCCTCGGTTGCACAAGATTTTAATAATGTCAAATGCAATAGGCCCTTCGTAACTGTGGCTTCCAAGACCTTATAGTTAACGTACAATTGTTAGAAACCTGATTACCTACTATGATGGTAGGTATAGGTAGCTGCTTGTGTTCTCGGTTAATTGCTGGTGATTTTTCGTATAATAATGTAAGCAATAACACCTTCCTCATGTTTTGGTTCTACACTTCAAAAAGGTCTCTGCAAGCAGCAAAGATTGAAACGTCAAACTATAATTTTAAATGTGAACATTGTGATTACGCAAAATAGTGTGAAACATTCCTACAAGTCTGAAAATGAAAAAAACGCACGTGGATGGACCAATCCTTGAAGGGGACAGACCAGATAGACGCTTTCTATCAAACAGATTACTGGTTCTCACACATCAGTTTCAAATAAGTACAGTTTGACAGATGTGTACAATAAAGTAAAGTTTGACAGAAGCGTACAATAAAGTGAAACTTTATGGCCGCAAAAGCGACCACAAACGTTTTTGTGATGATAGCCTAAAAATGTAGGTTAATGGAATTTTTTATATTGTATCAAAATAGGAGTCGACCGTTTTGTATAAGAAATTCGCACTTAAAGTTATTCTAACATTCCTGAAGATTTCAATTTGCGGCGAAAAATTTGAGTATTTTTTATGAATGATAAAGGAACCCAAACCAAAGATTTTTCTCATTCATTGTGAAAGTGAACTTTTAGAATTTAGATCATTATTACCATTCTTTTGTGCGGGTTAATTTTTTTTTAATTTGACATCCAAAGACGAGTAAATTTTTTTGAATAGGATTTTGTACGAGGTGTTTAGATACGAATATTATAAAAATCTAGGTAATTAATTAGATTTCAACGTGATCACAAGACAGGATTTTAACTTTATTTTGTATTAATTACATGAAGTAATGAGTTGGAACGTGATTATTTGCAATAATATATTCAATCAATTCAATTTATATGAGTAACTATTTAGGAGTGGTCAAACCACAGTATCAGGTCTTATTAGCTTCCTAGCATGTGCTAGGTAGCTATTGCGATAGCCGTTTTTTGAACATTTCAAAATTTCATCAAATGTCGACGTTTTAGACCATTTTAAGCAACTTTTAAAGAATACATTTTTCCTGTCTGTAAGTGCGTACATATGTTGGCAATTTTTGGTTTCAGCTAGGAAGCTATTCTGTCAAGAATTTGACACCTGCTTTTCAGATTATAATTGGAAATTGAAATTCCTCAAGTTAAGAGTCACTAAACATTTATTCATTACTAAGCTAGCCGTTGTATTTATTATTTCATTCCAAAAAATTAACTGTTACAGTAAAATTTTTACCTGTGCCGATGCCGTAGAGAACAAAATTTACTTTCTACAGGAAGGGTTTTTAACTATTTATAACAAACTAGGAAGTGATAAGTGAACGAATATTTACACTCCAAATGAAATCCGACACCATAAAATAGTAATCATAGGAGTATATAGGCCTAATGAAGATAAAGACATGGTGGAAACCATAAATTGCCAAATTAAGCAAACTAGACTCGAAAAATAAATAAATAAGCATGGGAGGTGATGAATGTAACGGTCGTTACGTTTTTTTTAATTTTAAATTTAATTACTTTTTATTAATAATTTACAAGGAAACTTGCATATGATAATACTTCATATTATATTTTTACTATTATATTTTTATCATGAGTCTGTACTAAGGCGTGTGAAATGTGCTTAAAAGGCTGTCCATTTGATCAGGACACATTTCTGCAGTAGAAATATGTATTGAATTACGTGAAGATACGACCAATACTTTATTGGTGAGTGACGGTGAACGACATTATTATAAAAGGAAATCAATACAGTGCGTGGGAAGTGATTTGAACCTGCGTGTTATTTAAATTCGGTTGGAAAAATTTGCAAAAAGGTGTGCGTCGAAAAAACAAAGTTAAAGCATTGCAATTGCACGAATTGCTGGACTAAGTGCACCTATAGTAACCGAGTTTTCACCATAAATGGAAAATTTTCCATTCGTTAATGGACATCCACATGAGCACCGCATTGGTCTAAAAACTGCGTGTTGTTCCATTGCGCGTGCAATGTCGCCTCCGAATGCCTTATGTCATTGGACCCCTAATGAAACAAGGAATCTTTAGAGGGCAGTTTCATCCCAAAGTGATAGGAATATAATACATTATCGCGATGTTTGTGTCATTTGTGCCGTTTCTCCATAGGAGCCCATGTTAAACTGAACGATTTTCAAATGGATACATCTTGAAAACCTGATCATTTATCTTCATTATCGCATAGAGCACACTTTCAACTTTCATTTCATGTAAGTTTTATTACAAGATGACGGGAAATAGAAATCAGATCTGGTACTTTAAATGTTTATTTTGTTAGGAAGGCAGGATGCGTCATGGGACTGTTTACTTGTGTAATAGGACGCTCGATGAGTTTAAGGTCGTGAGAAATAAGTACAGTACTGCCAACTTTGCGGTGTGTAGGGAGATTAATTGATTCCAAGAGAAAGGACATTAATTAATTCGTTTTGAGCCGCGGCAGCGAGACAGCTCATTGCGAGCAATAAGAGAGAAATTCGTTTTGGACTATCAGAGCATATTAGCAGGACCCCCCTTTTGAACTGGCGAGATTTTTACGCTGGTGATTGCTAAAGAGTTCGTAAGCGTGGACAAATATTATACGGGCGGTCGCGAATATAATACGGTACGATTTCCCGTGGGCCAAGATATGCGTTGAGAATGTGTAAAATTCGTGCTTCAGTGAGAAACGCGTGAATTTAAATTAAATGAAATTAGTTAATCGATCAGCCGAAGAAAACAAACTCATTGGGAAAGTTCGCGTGTGGATCCCCAACCATTTGGATTCAAAGAGATTCAGATTCACAACAGGGAATGGTTTTGGCGGCAATAGAAAGTGAAAATGCCTAACACGAAATAAATTAATAATAATTTTAAGTTAACTCGGTCATTTGGATTGCACAACATTTCTTGCGATTTTGAAAACAACCTACTCGCTGCGATCCAGGTTTTAATGTCGGTCATTTTTGATTCGATTCCATGAATCCTAAATAAAAGGGGATCGAGTTTTTCAAGGTTGAACTGCTCAACGGGTAGATTTAGACGCTGTATAAATAAGGTAAAAGGTAAATTATTGTACATGTATTCAATACGGACTGCGTCCTTCAAGTAATTTGACAAGTAGGATTTTGGAAACATTCTTGAAAGACACGATCCAATCATTTTGGTAACTATGTGAAACGTTTAAAACGATTTTTTTGCATAATTGAAAAAGAAAAACGTTAGTTTCGCCCTTTTTTGTGGTAAAATTTGAGTGGAAATGAAAAGTGGGGGCAAACTTTAATGAGATAGTTATTGCATTTATTATAATCCTTTGTAACCACTAACCATATCACAAAACATATATTTCAAACGAAGGTATATTAGTCATGATGAGTCAGCCTACACCAATGTAATACCCCTTCAAACGTCAACTTCAATGTTCACATGCATTTATTATTATACAAACTAGTATTTTCTCTAAAACTTTGGAAATGTTTCTAGGTGAGGTACAACAACCAGGTTTCCAACTCACGATTTTAGCAAAAAGGGGTCTTCGGTTTAAGTTATTCGTCATAGATGTAATGTTCACTTACCGTAAATGTTTTTTCTCCGCTGGACCCTACCGGACTGATCTTGACGTGATGTTCTCGTTCCGTATTGTCCCACGTTCGCCACTGATTCTCAATACTCGTTACAACCCCTACGCTCGAATCCGGCTTTACCTCCAATCTCGACTTTATCTCTTGCTCGCACAAGCTACCCGGTGACCAAATACTATGCGTTCGCGATCTACCCTTTAGCGACAAATTTAACGGTGTATCTTCCTCTGAAAGCATAATTAGATACTCCCTAACAAATTTCTTCACAAGTTCTCAACTTACCAACTTTGGCCTTTTCCGGTGTGTATCTTTGGTCGTTAGATTGTTCAGGACTGCGCGTCTCAGGCCTGTGCAATGAAGAATATGGTAGAAATAGTGGTGGCCAAACGTATGGTGCGTACGCTGCCGGAACTAAGGGGCTGAAGGGATTACCGTACATTAACGATCCCATCTCTGTCAGAGAAAGAATGGTATTACCTTCGCTTTGATATGTTCCTTATTACCTACCTCTAGGTGACAAAAAGTCTTTAGTACGATGAAAGTCTCTTGGGCATACTAATGAGAAGGCGCTGTGTCGCGAGCTTGACAGTGGCGAGTGAGGCGATGATGAGCTGACACTTCTCGATGATAAGTCTGTGATGGGGCTGCTCAGTGGCGATGAAGGTGGTGATAGTTGAGGTAGGTGGCCCGTATTTCGACATTGCGATAATAAACCGAGTCGTGGCATTCTGCAAGTAATTAAAAGGCGCGTCAGTCGTGTTGACGATAAACAATGTTGTAAACGTCCGCATAGCGCACTAATCAGGTTTAGTACTTTTGCTATACAATTAAGGTAGCCTTATATTTATTGATAAAAGCTTTACAATGTCAGACACGCTGTTAGAAAATAATGCGGCCGTTTATCTATATAACATACAAAAGTGGGTAAATGGGTTGAAATGGAATACCAAAATAATTTGTTGTCGGTGAAAAAATGAAGTTGTGTTCTTTTCATATCGTGTCTATTATCGCCGATTACTTGCCTATACGTGGGGGTGCGAGACAATTTATTTGAAGTTTTTCAAAGGGAAATCTAGAGCAAATTTTAGCACATTACATACCGAAGTTCGTGCATATGCTGTTTTTGTATCTTTAACTTTCCCTCAAAGCTATTTCCAGTCATTTTAAGTTTCCGGTATGTTTCCACTGTATATAGACGTTTAAAATTTAAACTATATGACATAGGTCATAATTGATTACTAAAAATATCACCGTCAACCGAAAACTATTTCGATAGTGTGGAATAGGTACCCTAACGCCACCATACACACCCCATAATTTCATATTGCAACTTGACACTGAAATAGACAATGCTATTGTACATACCAAAAGCTTGACGATCAGCTTTCAATTTTGATATCGCGGTGTCTGCCGCCCAAATAAAAATGGGAAACGGCAATATCTCAGGAAGTAATATGCTCTTTGGGGTAAATTGTTTACATACAGGGTGTAATTTAAAAAACGCCCCAAGTTGTAACGTCTACAGTATTTGTCCGAATTTAGTGAATTTGGCAACTGTGTATGGGAGGCAAGTAGGTATGCATAAATTAAGTAGAGAATGGTTTTTGTAACTTTCGGTATGACCTGAAACAACTTTTGAATTTTAAATGGGATCCCTTGTTTATTATTAGATATTTAGTAGATAGTAGTAGTATAACGACAAATGAAACAAAAAAATCAGGAAGTTTGGATGAAAAATAGGGTTTTTCCAAACCATGTAAAATAATAGGAAAGGGGAGGGTCAAATGTCTATATTCGAAAAATACTTTAGCTTTTCTGTATTCCATAATATTTTGGTAAGCTTGGATTTTCAGAAGTCAATCCACTAACGATTTCCATAGCCTGCACGCGTTGTCACAGATTAGGTTTAATTGTAGGTTTCAGATGGTGCCTTAAAACAACGTTATGACCCATATCTCACAAACTGTAAATGGAGAATAGATCTGATTTTGTAAACAACGAAAGGCGAAAAACACCTGCGTTCGTTTAAAAATTGACGGCAAAAAACATATGACTTGTGTAAAAACTGTCAATACCAGGGTCAATACTTTGCTTTTTTAATTTTTCGAACCTGTGTACAGGACGGTCCATATTCGTGGCTTACCATTGGAATCTCCGTAACCGTGAGAGATACAGTATAGGTTAAATGTGGGCAAAGTTGCCCCTTTTCATGACTAAAAAAACGCATGAAATTTTTGAAAAATCTTTGAGAATAACTGAGTTATCACCGACAAACGGAAAATGTCAAATTTCGTTTTCATTTTCCCTAGATTAAACGGTCGGAAATGGACGGTTTCCGTTAGCAAGGGCACGGAAAATGTGACTTTGTTATCAGAATTTACATAACATGCTGGATGTAGAAGCTACAAGCTTTTTTGTAAAAATTCAATATGGCGTCCATAAGAAATAAGAAGTAGGTTCTATTTCTAGCGCCTTATGGAAATTTTGATAATAGATTCAGATTCTCCGGAAAAAGTGCCTATAAAAGGTGAAAATGGAAACGAAATTTAATTTTTTTAGTTTTTCGGTGATATCTTAGTTATTTTCAAAGATTTTCCAAAAATTTCCGATGCGTCGCAAAAAAGGGGCAGCTTGACCACCACTTTACCTACACAGTATCTCTCACCGTTACGGAGATCTCCATGGTGAGCCATGAATTTGAACCACCCTGTTGATTTTAACAAATTCAAATCTTTTTTTTCCAAAACGTACAAATGTCTTTGCTTTGGTCTGCACGCGAGTGTTTTAATACTTCCTTAAATGTAAACTAACAACAATACTGCGGGAGTAGCGGGAATTCGATGGTAATGCATAGTTGGCTATGGTTTTCTCTTTCTAACGTGAGCGTAGGGCCGTTGATAAGTTCGTATGGTTCGATGTCAACTGTCAATAAATGTTGAAAAGCACGCACAAAGAATAAAAGCACAACGAAAACACCTTAAGTTTTGAAGAGATTGATATTAATTTCAAAAGTTAATTATGGGTTAAATTTCTTCATACCCGCACCCTTAAAGAGTCGGCCAAGGAATATTTGCATCCCCAGCTAAATTTGCCCAGAGAATATAATACCTACGGAGAATTCGCCCCCAATATATTCCCGGAAATATCCCATGGACTATTTCTCTTTGAAAGTTCCCCCCTTCTCCCAAAAAATTTGTCCATGGAAAACTGAACTTCTACGTGGGTGAATGTGCTCCTCTCTTATCTTAAAGAAAATTCGCCACCCAGAAAAAATTCGCGTGGGGAATTCTAATTACAAAGATAAAGTCTTATAAGGACTATACGTAGAGGTCACTTTCGAAACTTTGAGAATGTGGGTACTTCGGTAAATACCGCCGGGAGGTAGTTCTTTTAAATGAACCCATATTGTTTAAATTTCCATTATCATAATGTGATGATCTACTACTAAAAATATCTTGAACAGATGGAATCAAATCAATAAAATAGGAGTTATTCAGAAAATATTCAAGATGGATGTAGGAACCTACTTACTATAGACTTTTGTAAAGGAAACATTTTTTTACTTAGAAAGTATAGTGGAGCGAACTGTGTACAAGTCTGTGAATACTGTGTAAAAATCCTCCAGCGACCCTTAAAAACCACGCTGTACAAAAAGAGAAGGAAAATCAGAAACACGTTCATGCCAATTATTACAGGAGCAAGTTTCTTGGTGGATAATGATTGTTGAACTTGAACATAAACTTTCCGAATAATTCTGGTGCTTGTCAGTTTTTCTTGGATGGGAGTTTTCGTAACAATGAGTATTCCGAAGGCGGACTTTCGTGGACGAAATTTATGGGACGATTATTTTTGAGGATCGATTATTTTTCTCTTTTGGTGACACGCTAAGCCTTTCTGCTTTAATAATTCAGTATGACATTGAAGAATTAATATAAACACACTGTAAGGTTGGTGCATAATATATTATGTAGGCATAACAATGACTTTAAATTTAATATAATATTTTACATTTGAAAAAAAAATGTTTTGCTTTTAATAAAAGTGTTACTCTTATGATGATTTTTACGGTAGTAAAAAGTCATTTTACTTGAAATTTGTTTGAAAATCTTGTTTTTCTGTTTTAGAGTACATACATATTTCCGAGCATATTTCCCCCCTAGCGATCATATGGTCATCGTATCAAACTAAAAAGCTCGACATTCAATACAGGAATTTTATTGAAAGAGTTTCGGAAGAAACTTCTTTGATTTTGAACAAGATATACCTACAATAAATAAATGTCGTGAAATCCTATTTCCTAAATATACGTACCTATAGAGCTTTTTGAAAATATCATTCTGTCCAGACGTTTCGAAAAAAATTTGTCAAAAGAAACAAAGTAGGTAGGTGAGGGCACCAAAATGATTTTGTGTATATATACCGCATTAATTATTTAACGGGTCAACATTTCTTTGGACGAATCACTTAAAACATTCATAAAAGTCGTTAAAGCTTTTGTTAAAAGCGTTAATAAAAAGTTATTCTCTAAGCGAAGTTTCATAATAGGTATTCATTAACAGTCATAAAGTTTTTTTTTTTTGAAAATTATAGGCATTATCCATACCGTTTTAACATTCGCTAATATGTCATGTATTGATTAAGTACATTTCCTGGCAGCAATTAAAAAAATGATTTCATGAGGTATGCATTAATAGCGATTCTAAGGTCACATATTTAAATCAAAAAATCTATTAGCATTTTTGTTGTGATCGTTAATTAGTTGTCATGGCAGGTGCAGGGCCAGTTGGAATAGAGTTACTAAACTAGATTTTTACGTTCGTGCATCCATTAGCATCTATTGACATATTTAAAGCTATTACCGAACAATCACAGGGATCAATATACAAAATCGTCGCGTGATCAGAGATGTAAACAGCATTAGTCGGTGCGTTTTGTCCGCATTGATTTACTAACAATGTTCGGCCATCGGAAACAATTTCATTTGTCATCCATGTGCATTATCTTCAAAAAGAAGGTAAATCCAAAGCTACGCCGCTACTTAGAAGGCGATGCTTTACGTTCTAAGTTAATTAAATTTTATTGCGGTATAGCTTTAATCATGGTCTTGGAGTGTTTGTCTTCCTGTGGTGATGTAAGTAGGGCCATAAATTGCATACAATATGAAAATTTAATGATAGATTTGCATAACTTATTAATGTCAATCTGTTATACCTACGCAATTTCCTTCATCAATCTCTGTATCTGTTATTTGCAAAAGGTAATGACTTTTCTACGTGCCCACAATAGTTGAATTCACGTTAACCGTACATACCTATACGTTAATATTTCACAGAACGACACTTCCTTAGTTGTAGAATTTACCTACACTTTATTGTTATGCTTTTTAAGTACCTGTGGAAAACATCTGACGTAGTTGATCATTACTATACATAAGAATATCTGGGGTTGATTCAGCAAAGGATTTCTGTTTCACTTTAGGGAGTATAATGCAGTTTATGATGCAGCATCAATTACACATCTTGAAGGAAAAATCGACAACGCTGCTGTTGCATTGCACCATCTTTCACTCAAGTCCTACTGATGGACATGCAGGGCATAAGCTATGTATATAGTTTAGACCACAGGTTTGTTTTTGGTCTTATTGTTTATTATTGTTTGCCTTTCGTGTAAATTCCATTTCATGTACACAATTTAATCAACATTTTGTCAAATGGTACCAAAATAATGG